TCATTGGGAAGATCCAGCCCATGTGCCCTTGTGCCTGTTACTCCTGCAAAAAAGGATACTGCCCACACGAACTCCCGTGAGGGTGGCCTTGGCAGCTGGCGGTGGTGCCTGCCTCTGGCCACACAGACTGCCTCGCCACTGCCGGGTCCCCACATAGAGCTCCAGTCTCTAACTTCCCAGAAACAAACGTAACTAACAGCTAACCTGGTGTCTCGCCTGACTGACTGCAGTTTTTGTTTTTTTTTTCTTCTTTACAACAAATATTAATTGCTTTGCCTTATTTCCCATAGTGTAGAAACCTTGAGTCTTTTCAAACCTCCCGAGTACAAATTCTTTACTTGGAAACTTTTTGTACTGTTGAGTGAGATCAAAGGCTTTTAGACGTCATCCCAGTGGGGTGGTGCTTGAAGTGTCATAGGAAGGGATTCACAGCTTCTCTGGAAATAGCACACCTGAGCTGCAGAAATTGTTCTTGTTGCATTGAAAACTGGACAGGTGGGTTTCCTTGTGGGCGTGGGGCTGTGGGAACCTGCAGAGGAGCATCAGGTGGAACCCTTATGCTCCTGGGATTCAGGTGTTTGGATAGCCAACACAGAAGTTAACTGACACCACCAGGCTCATTACTGGTTGAAGAGAAATGAGATCTGTCAATGGGCTAGGGCCGGGTGACTCTCAGGGAGACTGCTAGGCTTGTGCTATCCTTCCCTGGCCTCTCTAGTGTAAGGTCTTTTTGCCTCTCCTGGCTGGTGATCAGCTAGGGTTGTCTCCCTTATGCAGGGTGCAGCCAGGAAGATATCCTCATGTGAGAGAATCTAAGTCAAAACAAGAACAGAGGTAGGTTAGTAAAGAGTGCTGCTGCCAAAACCCAGGCTTGGGTTTGGAGGGCAGGACTCCCTTCTCAGACCTGGAGGCCCCCAAGGCTCCTCTTACTCTGGAAGGATAATCCTAACCCCTGGAGTACCAGACAGACACACCTCTCCCCCTTGGACTGGCAACCCTCCCTCCTGACCCTGAGGCAGAGCTGCCCCTGCCTGCAGTTCCAAGTGAGAATCAGCTGACAGCAGGATGGCTCACCTGCCGCTCAGATCAAAACCTGTGACTTCTGACATCCAAGATGTTTGTCTATGGACTTTGAAAATGGAAAGGGCTGGTCTAACCACTGCCTCAGCCAAGCCAGCCTGGCCTACCTATCTTCAGAGGGGCTGAGCTTCAGGCAGTAGTCTCTATTGGAGGGCATTCCTGTGCTAGGTTCCTTCCTTTTCTCTCTTCACAGGTATTCTTGCTTTCTGTCCCTCTCTTCCAACTCATACTCTTCTTCAGATCCCTCAGACCAGCCTTCAGCTTGGATCATTACCCAGTAAAATGCTGAAACTATGGCACGTCAGTCTGGGTGCAGTGGCTCACACCTGTAATCCCAGCACTTTGGGAGGCCGAGCTGGGCGGATCACTTGAGGCCAGGAGTTTGAGATCAGCCTGGCCAACATGGCGAGACCCTGTCTCTACTAAAAATACAAAAAAAAAAAAATTAGCCAGGTGTGATGGCTCACGCCTGTAATCCCAGCTACTCAGGAGGCTGAGGCACAAGGATTATTTGAACCTGGGAAGCAGAGGTTGCAGTGAGCCGAGATCACACCACTGCACTCCAGCCTGGGCAACAGAGCAAGACTCTGTCTCAAAATAAATAAATAAATAAAAATAAAAATAAAACTATGATATATCAGAGCCAACAGTCTTCTTAGGAATCTGCTGGGCCAGCCCCTAGTCTGACAGATGAGGACGCTGAGGCCTCCTAGGGGCCTGGTGACTCGCCCAAAGCTGCAGCGAAGAAACAGAGTCCCCTAAGACTCAGTGCAGTGCCCCCTCCTCCAGCCAGGGCCCACTTCCCTCCCATCAGCCTGACAAGGCGCGCGTCCTCGGCCTCTTACAGTTTCTTTAGTTTATATTTTCTAAGCAGTGTACATGTTTAGTCTGAGTCTGATAGCACCTACATTATTAGAAGGAACTTTGCCCTGTTATAATACTCAAGGCATTTATTTACCAGGACAACAGGTTTAGATAGCTAAGGTTTTGTGCCCAGCCACAAGAAAGTCAATTTAAGCTTACGTTATGTAAGCTTAACTGTTAACCATCACCCTGCTTCACCATGGTTCACGCCCTGAGGCCAAGTGGCTTCCATATTGTAATGAGTCAATTCCAATAATTTCTGACATCCCTGGGTTTCTAAATTAGAAAACAGAAGCACCAACCTGAAAGTGAAGTCATAACTTTCTTCTTCTGAATCATAAGAATTGAAAGCCAAATACAACCTAGCAATCGCCTTATTTCACAGATGAGGAAATTGAAGCCAAACATTGCTCAGGCCTCTGTCCCCTGCTCCTGCCTCTCCACCCAAATCTCTGAGGCTTCTTAGGATAGAAGAAACTCGGGAGCTCTCTGGTGAAGAAAGTGGGGTCCAGAGAGGAGTGACTCACCCCAAGTCCTGCCACCAGTGAGTGCGAGGGCCCAAATGGACCCCACCCAGTGCCCTCTCCTCCTCAGTCTGCCCTCTAGGGCTTGGGCTGGAGGATGCCATTCCATAAACATACCAATTACTTGGAAAAATCTAGGACAGGGAAGAAAAGGGTTCCCATGATCCAGCTTTTGGGAAATTATTTTTGAGGGGGTGAGGAATTTCTTAAGTGTCATTGTTTATTTTCTGAGCATGTTGGCTCTCGAGATTAATCCCCAAAGAAGAAAATTAAAGTATGACCCAAGGCCTCAAGGGATTTGTTCTTTAACATCAACAAAACAATTAACAAGAAAAATCTGAAGGTTTAAGGCCCCTGACCCCTTAATGTCTTTGTTCTAGCTTTTGCAACACATTGGAAAGCTCAGGACATCTAATCTCAGTTTCTGCTAAGTGGATGAAAGCTGGTCAGGTGTAAAAAAGGGCTGGTGTGCACTCTGACCACTAGTGTGGGGGCGTTTTCTCTCTGGAGATGCCTCTGACTTTCTAAGCTTCAGTTCTGGGTGATAAGACTCGCCTGATACCTTTTCAATTAAACATTTCAATTAAACATTCTTCTTTTTTTTTTTAGACGGAGTTTCACTCTTGTCGCCCAGGCTGGAGTGCAATGGCGTGATCTCGGCTCACTGTAACCTCTGCCTCCCGGGTTCAAGTGATTCTCCTGCCTCAGCCTCCTTAGTAGCTGGGATTACAGGCGCACACTACCACACCCAGCTAATTTTGTATTTTTAGTAGAGATGGGGTTTCTCCATGTTGCTCAGGCTGGTCTCGAACTCCTGACCTCAGGCGATCCACCCTCCTCAACCTCCCAAAGTGCTGGGATTACAGGAGTGAGCCACCATGCCCTGCTCAATTCAACATTCTTAAGTCCCCAGTAAGTCAAAGAAATAATGGGCAACACAGACATTTCCTAATCTGATCAGTGACTGGCTTGGGCCTTTCTGAAAGTGCTCTTGTGGGCTTCCCACACTGGGTCCGAAGGTAGGACACAGAGCACATTCCTCAGAGCAAGGGGCCAGCCAAGCTCACTGAGGGAGCGAAGAGCTCTGGTGGCATCGCAGATACCTGCTCAGAGCGCTGGACTCCACCTGGGGCCCCAGACCACCCTCCCCCATCATCAGCAGCAGGTGTCAACCTCCAGCACTGGAGCTGTCACATCACTGCTGGTGATGTGTGTTCTTTGTTCTTTTTCTTTGTGAAGGTCGTGTTATTTTTTACATTTGATAGACACTGGGGTATTCCTTTTACTGCTTATTTTTACTTTAGTCTTACCCTAGATCATGGCATTGGGTGAAGCCAGCTATAGACACAGTGCTGGCATTGTTTTATAGAAATAGGGGTCTTGCAAGTGAGCCCTGAAAGGGAACCTCCCAGAGCCAGGGTAGGCGAGGAAGTGATTAAGGGCCATCGCCTCATTTCTCTAGGCTGGAGCCAACATTCCATTAACATGGCTTCTGGGGAGTTAAAGTTTACCTTTACTTCTTATCAGGTCATATTTGACAGCAACTTAAACCTTCTTAGCCACATGGATTTTTCAGAGTCTCTGTCCCTGAGGTGCTTGGCACAGGGGCCCAAGCAAGGTGACTGTTCAGGCACCCCCGTGGTACACCTTAGTTTGCCTGGAAGCCGCCACCTCCCTGGCTCTGGCTGCAGTGTCCCAGTGCTCGGCTGAACTTTGTTTCTTTGACTCCTGAAGCACAGCCAGCCATTGAACACAGGGAAGAAAGGACGAGACTAAAGGGAGCTGTTGCTTTCAGGGCTGCTTCATGAATTTCCCGTAAAGAGACACAAAGAAGACTAGAACCCCATAGTCCCCTTTGTCATCAGAGCCCTCATTTTTGCTCTGTTTCTGTTGATGGTAAGATGTTCCTGTCTCTGTCTACCAGGCCACACCCAGCCCGACGGAGCACGCACCTCCTCCAGTTCCCCTCTCCACTCAGAAATGCACCAGGATGTATTTCAAAATCTCTTCAGCTGAGCAAACAGACCCCCCTGCATCCCCCAGGGCTGGTGCTGCCCTGCCCTCTGAGCACCTGTACCCTGCTCTGGGCAGGCCGTCACTTGGCCTCCCCTGGGTTGGGCTTGACAGCGGACTGTCACAGTGGCTGAGTTCAAAATCAGCCTGCATGGCAGCGCCTTCCTGAGGTTAGAAGGTGTTTTGCAGCCCCGGGCTGAGAGGCCCCGCAGTGTGAGAGTGGACACCCATAGTCAAAAAGTTCTCCATTTCAAGAACGCGTACAGCCACCTTCCTTACCGCCGGCCCTGCTGGGCAGCCTGCTTCTTATCGTTTGCACCTCATTGCTTTCCTCACCTGCCATCTCACACGTGGCTGCCCTGTGTTGCCCCTGTGTGCCGTGCCAATTGTGTTTTTTTGCTCTGTGTACATTTTGGTTTTATTTGGGGTTGCTGTTGATGATTTCCTTTGTTCCGGTGTTCTGTCTCCCCTCGCTGGCTGTGTGGGGGCTGCCTGGCCCGCTGCTTGCCGCCTCCATAGATCCCCGTTGCGCAGCCCTCTGTCATGGACGACATTGAGGTGTGGCTCAGGACCGACCTGGTGAGACTCGACTTTTCTATTTCATGTGTGGGGTATGGAGCGGCAGAGGCTCTTCTGAGGACAGGCCTTGGGGGAGCATCAGCAGGGGCTCCACCCCTGTCTGGGTCAGTGGAGAAGGGAGGTCTGGGCAAGCTCCATAGCTGCTCCTCCTCCCCGACATCAACCCATAGCTGTGGGTGCTGCGGCAGCCTCCAGGCCTACGGAGGCCAGCTGTGCTGGGGCAAGGCCCTAGGCACCAACTCCTTCACCCACACAGTCCTAGCCTTAGCCGGCTCCAAAACATACACTTGCCTTCCCCCCATTTTCTTTTCCATTTCAGATGTGTGTGCGTGCTTTGGTTTTTTGGGGGGGGGAGTGTGGGGGGAGCATGTTTTGTTTTGTTTTTTGTTTTCATTTCTTTTTTTTTTAATTGTGAAGTATACACACAGTGCTTTTGTTTTTAATTCGCCGTCATCCCCCTCCTCCCTTCCTGATTTTTGATTTAAAAGAACCCCTGCCCCAGAGACCCGTTGTCTCCATCCTAGAGATAGGGCTAGAAGATGAGGATACTATGCATCTGAAAATGGCAACAGGTCCCAAGAAAGGAGAGCTGCAGTGGCTGCCCGTGATAACTGCTGGCCCTCCCTCTGTTCTTCACAAAGCACTTTCACTCTCAGCAGCCCAGGAGGGGGTCAGGGTGGCAGGTGAAGAGGTGCACTCTGGGAAATGGCTTGCCCAGAGTCATGGGGTAGTTGGATTCTCCCCCAGAGCTGGAGACACCTCATCTCCCTCCTAGCTGCCTCCTCTGCAGGGGGCCTGGTCCCCAGGCAGAAGAGCCTGTTGAGTTCTTTAACCACAGGGTCAGCCTGGCTGTCTTTGGGCTGGTGACCTGGCCACCTCCCACACTAGGACAGCAGGCCTCAGGTTGGGGCCTCTGGCTGCTCTGGGCCTCCTCCCCAGAAGGTCAGGCTTTCCAAACACATGCCTTGCCAAAGAAGGCAGCTGCCTGGGTGTCAGGGAGGAAGAACACACCCCAGGACATCTTTTCCAAGGGGATGCCTCGAAAAGAAATTGCTTCTCTCACAGAAGCGAGGCAGGAAGGACCAAGGTCCTTAACTTCTAAGGGGGACCCCAGGGTCCAGACAGGGAAAGGATGTGTCCAGTAAGGCTACATAGCAGGTCAGTGGTAGAGCCAGGAAGGAACCCAGGTCTCCTAGCCCAGCCCAGGGCTTTGTCACTTCCCCATCCTGCCCCTTCCCAATGAGGCCCTGCACATGCTGCTCTTCCCCAGTCCCCAGAGAACCCCGTGAACTCAAGACACTACTGTGTTCTCCAAACAAAATCAAATCTGATGCACTTTAATTTTTGAGTACACAGAACCGCCATGGTTCCTTTAGGAGCCAGCAGCAGGTGATAATAATCTGGGCCACAGGAGGAGGCTGGTGCAGCTCCCAGGAGGCGGCAGGACATGGCTTCTGGAGGCACAGCCTCCACTGCCAAAGTACCTACTGAGTGACAGGCCCTGTGCTGTGGGCTTTGTGGCCCTGAGCCATCCAGGCCTCGTGCGGTTTCCAGCTATTGGTGTGAACAGCCTCTTCCCAGAAACCCTGTGGCTGGCAGCGAGTGGGTGTTGTGTTGGGCACACGTGACCCTGTGTGTGCTCAGGCTCAGCCCCCTGTGGCTACTGCTCTGTGCCTCTCCCTAGAGCCTCAAGAGTGCTGAAGGTGGGGTCCCGCCCTCCGCAGCCCAGGCTGGAGAACCAGCCTGCACCGTTTTGGGAGTTTTCTTTCCAGCCCTTTGGAGGATCAAAACCTAAAACATATTTGAATTTTTTTGCTTTTTTTTTTTTGAAACAAAGCTTCTGTTTCTCCAATAAGAAGAGCAGTATTTTACTATTACAGAAATCTGGAAACAGGGGAAATTAGGAAGTTTTGTTTGGGCTGCCCTGGGCAGTGCTGCCCTAGGGTAGCCATGGGCAGACAGAGGTGGCTGGGCGGGCAGTGCTTGGACCACTGCCCTAATTTCATTCTCTCTGCTCCTCCCACAGAAGGGCGATGACCTGGAGGAGGGTGTCACAAGTGAAGGTATGGCCTGGCCAATGGCCTTACAGCCCCCCTTTTGTTGCCCCTGCCCAGGCTGCACAGGAGCCAGCCCCCATCACCTTGGAGCCCCCGCTGCCAGAGCACCTACTGGTGCCAGGCCCTGCGCCGTGGACTTCACGGCTGGCTTGGTCCCACCCAGGTCTTATGCTGATTTAGGAAGTGTGATTTATCTTGCTTTTTGGGAAACAGAGGTCGGAAAGAACACGTGACTTCCACAAAGTTGCAGAGCTGGTGAATAGCAGGTGCAGACTGCCACCTGGTCCCGACCCACAGGTGCTCAGCCCAGCTCAGACACGCGCAGTTTGTGGGGGTGCGCATCAGGACCCTTGGGCCACTGAGCCAGAAGGGAGGAGCCTCTCTGAGGTCTTAGTTCTCCCACGTGGCTACCCCCACATCCCCTGCCCTTCACATCCTGCCTCCCCGAGCTCATCTTGCCCCGCTCCACCTGCCTCTCTGTGCTCCTGTCCCCCCTCCCCAAGTCTGCCAGACCCTGTGACCAGACCGCTGTGCAGGGAGGGAAACTTCAGAGGACCCTGCTCCCTAGCTCTGGATGCCCATATAAATGGGGCCCTCCCCGCTCCCCACTGCCTTCCTCAGCATCTCGTCAGTCTCCCCCATTGGTGGGCAAGGGTAGGGGAGGTGGGATGGTTCCTGCCTGGTTAATCAGGAGCTGGCCCCTCCAGCTTACCCTGCCCCACCCCCAGTGCTGATCTGGAAAATGGACAAAACTGGAAATGGACAAACTGGACAAAATGGACAAAACCCAGTGCTGATTTGGAAAATGGTCAGTGGTTGGGTGAGCGCTCTGGGCTGTGTTTTCCAGAGCCTTTCCCTACCGGGCCGGAGGGCTGGGCACACCCGGGACCCTCCCCCAACACTGCAGCTTACGAAGGCCTCCCCACCCACCTGCTCCTGGGTGGGCTTCATGCCTGCCCTAGAGGAGGAAACAGGCTGAGGAGTGGAAGGGTGCGCTTCCTCTGGTGGCCGGCCCTCACCAACCTTGACCCTTGCCTTGGTTTGTATTGCAGAGTTTGATAAATTCCTTGAAGAAAGAGCCAAAGCGGCTGAAATGGTTCCTGACCTCCCCTCGCCCCCCATGGAGGCTCCTGCCCCAGCCTCAAACCCTTCTGGCCGGAAGAAGCCAGAGCGGTCAGAGGATGCCCTCTTCGCCCTGTGAGCGGCTCTGTGGTTTGCCTCCCCAGATGGCGGGTCCCCACTCGCACCCCATGGACACCAGGCACTGGCCACTCCTACATCCCCAGCTCCACACGGCCTGCACACCTGTGTCTCCATGGAAATGCCACCGTGTCTGCTCCCAGGCCTCCCACTAGTCAGGACCAGCTTTAGCCACCTTCTTTTCTGAGTGGTGGGACAGCTGCAGCCAGAGACTCCTTTCCCTCCCACCACGGGCCCCTCTGCCCATGTTTCCTCCACGGAAGAGTGGGCAGAGTGGCCCAGCCCCAGGCAGTGCTTCCTGAGCAGACCACCTGGACTGTCTTTCCTCCACCCACCCACAGAGAAGGAGCAGGCCTGGCCCTGCCCTGTGCTCACCTCTGCCTGGCTCAGCAACCTTCTCAGGCATTCTGCCCACCTGGGCACCTCTCTCCCCGAAGGGGCTTTGTGGCATCTCTGGAAGAGCAGGGTGCGCTGCACCCACCTGGGGCCTGGTCTCCCTCCTTGGACTTGTCACTTTGTGACGTTTGGCTTATCGGCATTTGAGAAGGCTCTGCTGGGTGTCCATGGGGGGTCTCTCACCTTCTTGACCCTCTCTCCATCACTCAGCTGCCAGCGCAGGCTTCACACCCAAGCTGGCTCAGCAGCCGAGCCTGGCACCAAGGGGCCCTGTAGGCTCCCAGGGCAGGGAGAGGGCCAAGGACAATTGGGAGGGCAGCAGGCAGCCCGCAGATGGTGGCCATGTGGCACGCTGCTGAGACAACACTACCAATAAACCAAACTGCCATGCACACACTGCAGGCTCACACCCACACACCTGGCCCTGGCTTGTGGAGGGGCTTGCATTGGAGGCATTGCTCTGGCTTGCCTGGGGAAGTGTTGCAGGTGTGCACATGGGCCACACTCAAGGCTGTGGCCTGGCCTGTTGTAGCCTCGCACCTCTGCCTCCAGAGCCAGCAGTAAACAGCTTTGCGGCACTCTTGGAGGTTCCCAATGACTGAGAGGCCTGAGCAGCACTAAGGCCCCTGCACTGCTCCCTGGCATCGGCCTTGGCCTGCTTGCACAGACTGTCCTGACAGCCTGGCCTCCTCCCACCTCAGAGGTCCTCTGGCCACCAATTTATACAGTCTCCCCAAGCTGATCCTGAAGGCAGACAGAGCAGCTAGGGGCTGGTAACATATACTCCCATCCCGTGTCCTCACTGGTGTGTCTCCTGGCCATGGGCGTGGGACTCATGGGTTATCCCAGGCGCTGGTCCAGCCAGACACCTCCCCCATACCTCTCACCAAGCTGCTGTTGCTCAGAAGAAGGAGAATGCTGCAGCTGTGCACACCCCCGTGCGTCTTGGGCCCAGCTCACTGGGTCAGTCTGTTCCTGTCCCCTCCAGCATGCACTGCCTAGGTCAGCACAGGTTCCTGACCCATGGTGTAGTTAGCCCTTCCCACCTGGCAGGATGGCCCAGACCACCAGCCAAGCAGGGAAAGGGGGCTGTGCTTGACAGGAGAAGAGACCAGTGACACGGTCTTTGGGGAGCATTCAGGATGGTGACTTCAGCTGGGAGCCATGCTGAGCACCAACAGGAACTGTTCAGTGAAGAGCAAGTGCTGCCCGACCCAGGACCCCGTGCCAGGCCAGCAGCCCTCCAGCTTCCTCCAGAGAGGAGACCTCGGTCTGGCTGAGGGTGGGACTAGCAGGGATGTCACACTCCAGTTCCTCAGGTTTACCCAGGAAGCTCCTCCATGGAGCCTGGCCAGCCTGATTCTAGCCCTGTCCTCTCTGGCAGTACGTGCCGCACCTGGCCTCTCTGCTCCCTCACACTTGATGAGCCCCTGCCTCTCTCCTCAATGTTTCTCAGAGACAGACCTCCCTGAGGCCAGCTTGAATGTGAAGACTTCTGAAGTCAGCTGGCTTCACTTGAGCTGCAGAAGAGGTGGCTGGGATGGCCCAGGTACACCCAGAGGCCCCAGCCCTTTGGCTGCCTTTGGGTTGTGACTTGGGTTGTCTCTGAGGCCCTGCCAGAGCTGGGCCTGCGGGTGGTGAGTGGCCGGACCTTGGGCAGTCAGTGCTCTGTAACCTCAGCACTGTAGCCCAGACCCAGTGTCCTCGGAGGGAAGAGCCAGCATCCCTGCCTCATGGAACGGGGACTCCCGAAAGGTCAGGAGCCTGGAGGCTCTGAAAGGAGCAGGGCTTCCATAGTGCGTGAAGCTGGGATAGGTGCCCTCCTGGGGAGCCCCCAGCAAAGCTGTTTTTCATACCCACGCCCAGAGCTGCCCCACCCCAGTTCCAGCTCCCGCTCTGGCTCCAGCGCCAGCTGGTTGCCAGCCATGATTGGAGAGGCCTGGCTGCCCCAGGGGCAGCAGGGAGTGGTGGACCTGTATGGGCTGGCAGGAGGCCATTGGCCATGCTGACAAGTATCACCTGCCTTCCTGGCCTGGAGCCACCCCTCGGGTGGCTTTCTAGCGCCTACTTGCAGCTCCTATCCAGAGGTAGCCTTCCCCACCTGTAGGCAGAGGGGGCTCTTGCTTGAGACCTGCACAGGAAGCAAGTACAGCCCCAGTGCCCCAGAGGGGCTTCCACTCAGCCCTGGCGAGATGTCCTGTCCTGAGGTCTCTGCTCCCAGACTCCACCATCTGGGGAGCACAGTCCTCAGGCTGCCTGGTCCAGGAAGGGGGCGCGACCCTGTCAGGAAACCTGGACTCTCAAGGCCCACCAGCCTCTCCGTGAGTGTTAGAAATCACAGATACAGTATATACTTAATTACACTAAATTATTGCTGGGATTCCTCATAAGCACTAATTATACCTGATTATAGGTTAAAATATTTATTTTGTCAAAATATTTTCTTGGGAATGTGTTTAACCCTTTCTGTGTTCATTGTGTGCTGAGATGTGAAAACTAGCCATTCCCTCCTGCCTACCGTTTTGGCCAGTGGGCAGCAGAGAATGGCGCCACGTGCAGTTCGGCCCCCGGCACCGTGGGCCTTTGGCCCGCCTGCCACAGAGTGGCCCTGCCTGGGCAGCCTGCAGGCACTGAGCAGACCAACTGTGGCCAGGCTGAGAGAATGACCGGCTCGCTTACCAGCGTGCATGGGACAAGGGGCTTTGGAGCCTCAAGGGGTTGTTGCTGGCCTGGGCCGGAGGGAAAGGTGAGCATCCAGCTGTCCTCCTGTCTTTCTGTTAGCGCCTCCACGCGAGTGATGGTGCCTTGGTTCACTGGCCTTCCCCCACCTCCCCACCCTGCCACCTGGTAGTCTTGGGGCCTGTGCTGTCACTGCAGCCCCTGGGGAGGAGAGGACCCAGCTGGGAGAGTTGGGGCAAGGGCTCTGCATGGCCCAGGGGCAACAGATGCTCGCAGGGCAGCTGCTGCCAATGCCCACGCTCCTGCCCCCCTCCTTCCCACTGCCACACCCCATCCTGGGTCCCCGCAGACACACATCTCTAACTCAGACGGGCCCAGCCTTCTGGATGGTTCGGGGTAGGCCATGGGCCCACCTGGGGCCAGGCCAGCCCCTGGGCAGCTCTGGAAGAGCAGTGCGAAGGAGCGCTTGCTTGCAGCCTGGCCTCAGCCTCTGGCACTGCTGGGGTGGCCCCCAGGAGCCTCTCCACTGTCGGCTGTGGGGACATCTCACCCATTTGGGTTACAGCCAGTCTTCCCCACCCAGAGAGAAGTGTTTCCACCCCAGAGACATTGCCCGTCAGCCCCTGAAGTGCTTGCCTCCCCCAGTGCCCATCACCAGCCGTTCCTATCTGTGGGGTCCAAGACAGGCTTTCCCTGCAGCCACCAGCTGCCGGGAGCAGCCATCAGCCCCTGTGTCAGAACTGCTTCTGTCTGTCCATGCCTCTAGGCTCTCCCGGAGAGGGGGACAGATATTTATTTCCTAAAGTTTGCACTTAATTGTGAGGATTCTCAGGATTGTTGGGGGCTACCTGAAAAGAGGAATGTGTTGAATGTTGCATTTGCTGTCCACTCGTCCTAGAAGTTTAGTGTTCTTGTCACTGTCATGTGTTTCTGTGGGCAGAGCTGGTTCTGGAGGGTGGGTCAGTGCACCCGAGGCTCAGAGCATCCATCCACCCCACTGGCCCTCCTTCCAGATACCCTCTCTCTAGTTGGGTTCTTGCATGTAAAATACTCCACAATAAATAAATAATTGAACAAATTGTGCCTGTGTGGTCTGTTGAATTGTCTACGACTGTCCGAAGGGCTTGCCAGTTTTGACCACCTGCTTTCTTTAAGCAGAGGCGGCCATGAGGACCCTCAGTCCACCCTTCCCCAGTGCCCAGGCTGCCTGAGCAGCCCGTTACCTGGCCGGGAAAATCCCTGTGCATGGCCTAGGTTGTGGCGTCAGCGGGAGCAGCTGTGAACCTGCCACAACCTGCCTGAGAGCTCTAGGACCAAGTGCGGTGGTTGTTCCTAGGTCTCACCCCAGGTCCCAGATGGGCAGGAGGAGGCCACTCATCCTTGCCCAGGGCACTCAGGCCTTGAGCAAGCAGGCCTGAGCCAGCCCCAACCCCCTCTAAGCCCCAGCCCCCACCCTAAGCTGGGCTCCCACAGCTGGGCTGGGCATCATCCGCAGAGCCTGTGTCGGGCACTGAATTTGAGAAGTGCTGCTCCAAGCCAGGTGGACTTCACACTTTCTTTGTTGACAACTTTACTGAGATTTAATTCACATAGCATACAGTTTACCCATTTAAAGTGTACAATTAAGTAGTCTTCAGAATATTCATAGAGTTGGGCAATCCTCCCCACAACCAAATTTAGAACATTTTTATCCCCCCAAAAAGAAACCTGTCTCCTCCCATCCCTGCAGCCTGCTCTCCCTTTCTAAACAGGCTTCTTTTCCCCTCTCCCCTTGTCCTGGAGGTGGGTGCCTGCAGCCCTTTGTTGTAAGGCAGCTGTCCTCCCGGAAGGAGGCCCCTCAGGCGCAGAGACATAGGGGGTCATAAGGGGTGCACTGTGGGAGCCTGTGGGACCTGTGCCTTCTCCAGGTGGCTTAGGAGGCTGAGGGCCCTTTAATCCCTTCGCTGGGGCTTAAGGACAGACCTCAAGTCAGGGTGGACTCAGCAAACCCCCGATGAACCTGGAGATCTTCCCAACCTCTTGCTATGCCAGAGAAGACATGGAGGACTAGAAAGAGCTGTACGCTTGCCCCAGGCCACACAGGGAGTAGTGGCAGAACCAGCAACCAACCCAGAGCCAGACCTCCCAGACAGGGCCATGGAGTGGCAGGAAAGACACCACTTCCACGGCCAGCAGATGAAGCTGGCAGCAGCCCTCTGGGAGGGTGGCTCAGGAGGGGCTCTCCTGCCCACTGATATGAGGCAGGTCACGGCAGGGGCTGTGTTGAGACCACCACCATCACCAGTCGCAGCCAGAAGGGGCAGCACCCAGCTCCCTCTGGCCAGTTGCCTCCCTGGGCTCCAGGGAGCTCTGCAGAGCCCTGTTTCCGACCAGTTGGAGGGAGATAGAGGTTCCCACACCCAGAGGGGAAGGGGAGTGGGCTTCTGAAGTTGGGGTGGGGGGCTGCAAACCCAGGTCCCTTTGAACAGACAGCATAGACCCTGGCTCATTATGTGCTCCCAGCACTGTAGCAGGCAATGTGAGCACTGAAAGAGGCCTGAGCTCTATCCCTACCTGTGGAGAGTAGATTGGTCCTGAGGCACCACTGTGGATCACCAGGACACCTAGGCCACTTGTACTTTCAGCAGTGTTCCTGAGAGCCTGCTGTGTGCCGGGCTGATGCCAGAGGGGAGGGAGAGGGCTGCTCCAGACCTGCCCTTGGGGAACGCGCAGCCTGGGTCCATTCCCAGAGTCAAGGGGAGTCTGCAGTCAGTAAGTGTCGTAGCCCTCTTCCAGGGCCTGCAGGGAGAGGAGGCTCTGAGCTGAGCCCCAGGGCACTGAAGCTGCACACTTGAGGTGTGCATTGTGGGAGCCTGTGGGTAGGCCAGCTGCACGGGAACAGGAGGGTGGCTGTGCAACTCTGACTCAACCGACTTGAGGGCACTTGCTGAAGTGTGCTTTCCCAATACATTCACAGCTGTTCTGATCAAGGAGGGGCTCTGTGGGAAAAGAAATTGGGGAAATGCTTGAGTAGAGTAGCATCAGGACCTCTTTGCCAAAAGGAGGCAGTTTGTGGCCCAAAGTCCTCATTTAGAGATGACACATTGGACATTTTTTGGTTATGGAAGAAACTGTTTAATCAGAAGAATGTGTTATGTAGATAGAATTATGTAACTGCATTAGCTTCAGGCATAGCTGGATCCAGGTGCTTGTGAATTTGGTCAGGAATCTGTCTGTCTAAGTCTTGGTTCTGCCTCCTCTGGGTTGGCTCTTCCATGTGGCTGACTGCAGGCTACCTGGAGCTCTAGGCAGACATCCTGCTGGCAGAGAGAGGGTGCCTCTTTCCCAATACAGTAGTTCCAGCCAAAGTCCCAGAACTCACCCTGAAAATCAGGCTCTTAGCAGAGGAAGAATTAAATCTGGGCAAGCACAAACAATAGATGGTCACTGCAGTGTGGATGGAGGGGGCCAGAGATGGGAGTGACACACTGAGGGCACAGACTTGGACACAGACAAACTTCTGGACTCTCCCAGCATTGCCTCCTCACCCCTTGGATGGAAGGCTCTGTCCTTAGAGCCCCATGAGAACTGTTTTCCATCCCTAGAGATCTGGGAGGGGCAGTGTGGGAACATTGTGGTCCCATCACTGCTCACGATGCACCTGCCCATGAAAGCACCTGAGAAAGAGGGATTCTTTTCCAACCCACCTGTTTTCCAAGAAAAGGGTCTCTTTTGGGTGCTGGGGGCAGGGGAAGGGCAGAAGCTGAGACCTTATTAGGTTTGCATGACCCACCCAGAAATTCTATCAGTTTATTTTACAGGAGCCCCTGTCAGAGCTTTTGGAGCAGACCCCAGATGAGTCTGTCTAGGGCCTCCAAGCCCAGGCCCTCAACATTCCAGGATGCAAAATCTCTACTCTCAGCACTAGGGAGTAAGCAGGATGCTTCCGGAAATTGAGTGGACTCCATTGTCTGGTGCCATTTCCTGTCCACCCCATGCCTACCTGGGGTTGCAGGCTTAACTGTAGGTGTTGGGTAAGTCACCGTCTCACTCTGTTCTTTACTCTCCTGATCCTGATCCGTAAACTGGTGTAGTGGGTAGTAAACCCAATGCCCACAGGGGCCTTATTACATGGATTTCCTCACTCTCCCTGCTGCCAGCTAGACTCACCCCTTTCAGTATGTAATTGGCCTCTCCTCAAACAGCCAGTTACCCCCCAGAGAACAGGTATCACTCTTCCTCAGCCTTTGTGAGCTACACTCCTCACTGTGCAGCAATCTTTGGGGTTCAAGTAGCTCTTTTGTAGAGGGTGTGTTCAATGACTCATGATAAGCCTGCAGGTGCCCACGTGGGTGTGAGCCTCCAGGGGCAAAGCTGGCCATGGAGGCTCAGAGAGGGCTGGACAGAACTTGCCCAGCTCACCACAGAGCCCAAGCTGGAATGAGACCAGGAGCATCATCTACGACCAGAATCATCCATGTCAACAGTCATCTCACCCCGTTATATACAGATGAAGACGTGGGGGAGGGGAGACTCAGGCGCTGAGCAGTTTCTTCTCCCAGCCTGGTCCCTCCGCCATAACCTGGGCAGGTCCCAGCTTGGCTCCCACAGCAGTGAAGGATATGCAGGGCCAGGCAGGGTGGCAGGGGGCTCTGGGAGTGGGGAGGGGTTTCAGTAGCCTAAGCAATGGCTAGGGTGGACAGTCCAGTCTTTCTGCCCAGTGCCCGCCTTGCCATACACCGCTGAGCTCCAGGCACCGAGGGCATGGCTGGACAGGACGAGTGGCCTGGGAAGAGGCCCTGCCCGCGCTGGACGCCTGCCCGAAAAGGCTCGAAACCCACAGAAGCTGCCTCTCAGTCTCTAAGAGGCTTGGAGGAAGCGGGGAGATGCGAACCCCTATCTCCCAGTTGGCAACGCCGAGGTTGGGCAGGGGCCGGGCTGGGTGACCTGGGAGGAATTCTCTGCTCTGGGCGCGCCACGCACTCCCGGATGGGGCTGTCCCGTGTTAGCCCTTCCGTGCCCGCGACGCTCACCTGGCGGCCGTCCCGGCCAGGTGTCTGGCCTGGGGGCTGAGCTCAGCCTGTCCCCGCCGCCCCTCCCTGCCTCCCGGGTCGAGCGGGCGCGGCGCATGTGACCCAGGGCTGGGCTCCCGGGAGTACGCGCTGACGCCGCGTCACCCCACTCCGGGCCGGGCGCCCATTGGCTGCGCCGGGCCCGCGGGGGCGGGGCTGGTCTGGCTCCGCGCCCCGGCTCCCCTGGGTCTCCAGCCGCTGCCCTGGCCCGCGCGTGTGCGGAGCCGGCCCGGCTCTCCAGCTGCCTCCAGCCCCGACAAAATCAGGGGCAGCAGTGCTGTGACGTCCTAAGCAAGTCGCTTCACCGCCCCACTCCGCGTGCCTCAATTTACTCATCTGTAAAATGGGATGGTAACAGCCTCAACCGCCTGAGGCTGTCGAGAGGAGTGACTGGGTTTAAACAGCATTGAGCACCCTGCCAGCGCTCAGCGAGTAGACTGTGCGGAACCTGCCCGCCCGGGTCACCGTGGGCCAGGCTGGATCCCTGACCCGATAGACACACCAGTACAGAGGGGCTCGTGTCCACGTTCCTTGGGCGTGCTCAACGCTCCCCAGCCAAGCGGGGCCCGAGCGTCTTGCTTGGAAGTCTCAGGATCTTTGAGGGGAGAAACCGCCAAGACAAGCATGTTCCCCCTGAAAAATGGATCCCCTCTTCTGTTTTCCCCTACCCTCACCTTGAGGGTTGCCCCGGTAATTCCAGGCAAAATTCCTCCCACCCCCACGTTGGACTGTGCCCCATGGGGGTTGGATTTTCTGGGGTGCAGGTCTCCTGTTGACGTTGTCTTACCTTCTTTCCCTTTACCCTAACTCCTGCAGTTATGGAGTGAATATTTATTGAGCTATTCTATTTACATATGTGGTAACCCATTTGAAAAACGGTGAGGCGGGTTGGGTTGGGTGCAGTAGCTCACGTCTGTAATCCGAGGCCTTTGGGAAGCCGAGGTGGGTAGATTACTGGAGGCTAGGAGTCTGAAACCAGTCTGGCCAACAAGACAAAACCCCATCTCTACTAAAAATACAAAAATTAGC